CTTTTAAGGTTAGATTAATTAGTAGATAAAATACTACCTAAATATTTCTCTTTCTTTTGAAGACTATGCATTTTTAGTTTGAGGTTTCTTATTGGCCACGAAAGTGCACTTTCAATTGAGACTAGTTTTCATTCTCTATAAATGTTGTCTACAATGACTTCCTTTATGGTCTTATTTGCTACGATGTTATGTGATAGGAAACACCTGTATTCACAAGTGTTGCTAGCCAAAATCAGTAAACTGCTGCAGTTTTATTGCTGTCCACAGCAGGAAATAACCCAAAAACAGAGGAAAACAGGAGATATTCGCGAGAAATCTGAGAGAAAGCGAAGAAAAACTCTTGTATTCCACTAGTAGATGAATGAAACAGCAAAGATACAATTGATCCTCAATTCGAGAGGAGGATCGATCTCTCCCAAATCTCTAGACGCCGCTAGAGCCCAAAGAATACCTAAATCTAAGAGATCTCAAATTTCAGCCAAATTCAAGATGCCCAAACCCTAGGAAAACAAACTATTTAATGCATACCAATCAAAAGGAAATCCCTAAACAGTCCCTACATTCAAATTCTCCTCTTAATCTCCCCAAAAAACCTTCCTAGTAGGCTCCCGCAACGCTAACGGCTCGCGCGGCCTCCGCCCAGGCGAAAGAAGTCGCCTGTTTCGCGACTCGGCCGGTCCCGTGCGGACCGGCTGGACCGGTCCACTAGACCGGTCTAACATTATGTAGAGAGCAATGTTCGTATACTCGTGTAAAATAGTAGGAGTATGATTACTAACTCCTATTAAGATGTTGTTGATGTGCTTTGAGGAGACGTGCAGTTTATATGCTGTGTGAAGTATCAACGATTGCGATGATCCCTCCTATTATCATATTTGTTGATCGCACCATTATTGAGAAGTTGAAAACCTTAGAGATTCTTCTTTTGGTTTGGAGTCCTTTGTATTTCAAGCATGGCATTGTTTTGCTTACAAGGATTATGGAGAGTACGGTAGTTTTTCATTTAGATGTGATTGATCTTTTGCCTTCACATCACTGGGAAATAGAGCCTTATAATATTCATTGTTTTATTTAGGAGTGTTAATTTTGCATTTGAAGGTTGGTCCATAATTGATTTGAGTGGTAGGCAAATGCTTATGTTATCGATTATTTAAATTTATTATCTTGAAGAATTTTACCCATCATTGAGGCCATGGAGTCTTTGAGAGTATTTATCATTTTGAAAGTGGATTTTATGCTTAATATGATCCTCTTGGTCTGTGGCTTTTTGAATTGTTAGGATTTCGTAGCGACAATACTCTTGGCTGTTATAGTGTAATTGTCTGTGTATAATCGCAATTATGGTGCTAGTAAACCCTATGGTTATGATCTTTTGATAATCGTGCACCTCATCAGGGTGAGGAGCCCTAGAGCTTTTTTCTTTTAGTTTGTTGGTAATTTTCTTATATATTTACTCTTTTAATTATGATATTTTGATAATCGTGCTCATCAATGGGGTGAGATAGTCTTCATGTGTCATTTGAGGTTCTCTTTTGCTACTGAATTTGTTGTTTGATTTGGTGCTATGGGGATTGACATCAAATTATTGTATAAATTTGAGCATGATTTGTACTCAGTTGATCCAGGTGCCTCATCTAGTTAGAGTTGGTTGTACTGATATTCTTCATATCTTGAACTTGTAGGGAATTGACATTTTGGCTTGTGAATTGAGGCAAAAACCACCTGCATTAGTTTAATTGCAATCATCATTATCATTTTCAGTTTCTCAATTATTTTTCTTCACCAATGCTAATGGTCTTTAGTACCCTCAAATGTCTAAAGTGACCTAAGAGCTTGACTTGCATTGCTTGATCAATTGTAACTTGCTAATGGGATCTGAGTCTTTGGCAGAATAGTCAGTTTGACCAATTCTGGGTTTGGGTCTATCTTGTTATCTTTAGTTGCTATTGGACCATGGACTGTTTGAACGTTTCCTTTGATATACAAAAGATCATTTCCAAGTGGATGCTATGTTTTCTTCAATTTACATACCCAAATCTTAATATTTTTAAAAATTTGGGCATCTGCATAATTTGTTGTGGGTGAAAAACGGAATATGTGCGTCTTAAAACAAACTTGGGAAGTTTGGGGCACTAAATGCAGCTCTCAAAATTTATTTTAATTATGTTGAAGTATCTTGATGTACTTATGCAGTTTTTCAAATTTTCTTAACTTTTTTCCTATTATTCATTTTTTTTAACTTTTATATCCTTTGAATTTTTTAGTTTTTTTTTTCATTTTAGTGTTGGATATTCTAATATATATTTTTATTTTTTTTCCTATTTTTATAAATTTATTTTTTTAGAAAAGACGTGGTAACCATGACTTATACATTGATCTGACACACATGATCTGACATATATATGGTTGCAGACAGTGGCACACTAATCATTAGTCATTAGTTAAGACATCACAGTCAAAAGTTAGCCTTCCACTACACCATTAAAGGCATTTATGGTTGGTACATAGAACACTAGCTAGAAGCATTACATCTACCCAGCTTGCCACTAAAGGTGTGTATGATTCTCGAGAGAGCATCATTATAAATAAAAATAATATGATAAATGTAAGGGGTCTCCCATTTTTTTTTTCTTTATTGGAAGTAAGGGGTCTCCCATCATGCCACTAAAGGTGTGTTTCAGTAGTTGCTCTTGCTCACAGCTTCTTGCAGGCGAGCAAAATGTGTGCTCCTATAAGTCAAGCGAAGATCCACCTTTTTTTTTAAGGGTGGGCAAAATTTTAATTAATTAGATAACGATAACGATAACGATAACAATAACAATAACAATAACAATAACAATAATAATAATAAAACATCAAATGCTAAAAATAATAAAATTAACAAAAAAAAATTTAATCAACATAATGCTATCAAATTTATAAGAAGAAATTTTTATCATTTATCTTTTAATTTGATATTGTTTTCAGTAATAATATAAGTTAGAGTATAATCATATATGTTATGCTGAAGCTAGACCCTAACTTAGAGAAAAAGAATAATAAATGAACTTAATCTTATCTAACTTAAGAAAAAAAGGATAATTAAATCATAAAGTATGCATAATATTTAATGGATTTAAGAATCACTCTTTCATAAATTGTAAATCAATAGAAAAAATAGCCATATAAATTCATTTAGATATAAATTATATACTTAAAACTTAAATGAATTTCAATGCAAATTTATCCTCCATATAATTTTTTTTTACCCGCCCATGGTATTTGGGTATAAGACATCATAAAGGTAGATGAAACTTCTCATAAGAAATTTGAAATTATTCTTGAAGTAGCTTATTCTTGAAGTTGTGGAGTTATCTCGATATTGTTTCTCCTTAAGGTGTAGAGTGGCATGAAATAACTTTTCCATAAAGATTTTTATTAAAGAGTTATCGCGATGTCTACCAGACCGAACGCATCATCGCCGAAGTACTTCTGGCCAAGCTCCATCTCGAGCGTCTTAAAGATCCATATCAACTCCTTATTCACCTCCTCCAACGCCTTGCCTTTTAACGTCAACAAATTAGATCCGCAGTCATAGACTTGCCCAACCATGGATTTAATTTGTATGAAAGAGTATAATCACAAGGAGTATTAGAAGAACCCGGCCAATGTGTGGATTTTTGCCTTCTTGTTGATGAAATCGGCCCATAATCGGGCTTAGGGATTTGAGGGGAGGATGTTGGTTTTGTCGAGAAAGACTTCTTCGATGTATTTGATGATGATGAGGGACTAATGGATTTCCCGTCGTGGATAAGGACGGGGATCTTCTTGTGCACCTGGTTTGATTTCAACAATAGAAGCCTGTGAAACTTGCTCCGGGAAGGGAATCACCAAAGGGTGCATGTGGCTCGGAGCTTCGGATGGATGGGCAGCCAGCCGCGAGATGGGTCATGTTTGAGCAAAAAATTATTTTTGAGGGGGAGGGGGGGGGGGGTTTTTTTTAAATTTTAATTTGTTGGCCCACAAGGCCACAACCACTTATAGTTTCATTGATGTGGATTCCCTTTCAGGGTTATAAATTTAATTGCCTCCCTGATCCATTAAAATTTTTTTTGTGGGTGGGTATTTGCCCACCCTGAAATGAATGGGGATCCGCCCTTGAAGTCAAGGATTGGTAGAATGATTTAACTCAATTTGTAGACAATCCTGATATGAATCTTACACAACAGTTTGTCTACCGTGCTTCTATCTCCCCGTGGAATTTTGTAAATCTGGAAAAGATACTCTTATTGTGTGCCCCTCATCCTTTTGCAAGCCATGGCTCTAGAGTTTTTTTTTTTGGATATTGATGATACGGGATTAATTGAAGGGATTATGGAATTCAGTTGACTGCATGTATTTTTTTTTAATTTTAATTTGTTGGCCCACAAGGCCACAACCACTTATAGTTTCATTGATGTGGATTCCCTTTCAGGGCTATAGATTTAGTTAGCTAGATCAAACCTACGCTTGCTTGGAATTTAGTTTAATTTTGACAGTGCGATTGGTGAGGATATACAAAATTTACAAATTCAAAAATCTCCTTCTTTGTTAATTCCCTTTACTATTTGAACAATATGCTTGGTAAAAGGATTTGGGAAACTAGGAAACTGTGATTTCAAAACTGACCTTTTTTAGAGGATGTGTGGCTCATCAATATTCTTTATTTTGTTATTGAGTCTTTTTGTTTGGCTCTTGGATCCACTGATAAGCTCCAAGCTTCCAATACATTTATTATTGCTATCAAAAGTCTGATTCGTTCTATGATGCCATGCTTTTTTATAGTTGCCATTTGGTTCAGAAAAACTAGTTATTCATAAGTAGTAAATTTGGTGAAATTCTCTTCGTGTAAACCTTATCAGTTTATATTTAGCAATGTTAAATATGAAGTGAATTTCATGGCAATTGTTTTCATATATTTTTCCTTTTTTGTAAGTTTTCCCGTAGTAATGCTGCTGCTTTTATTGTTGGGAGCCAATCAGGAATTGGAACTTGAGAGGGCTCAAACTATCGATATCATGAGATATCTCTTGAGCTATGTCTATGGCCCTTTGTCTTCATCACATGACAATAACTTGAAATCTGACGAGCATGTTCAACAATCTGTGCGGAAATTGTTGTGTGAGTTGTTTAATTTGAGCGGAACTGTCTGGAAACCAAAATCAGTAGATGCAACCTTGACAGAGCTTCCTTTAAGCAATGATAAGTTGTCCGGGCATCCTGGGCAATATATTGAAACGAAAACTGCTGACTTGATTAACCCAAAGTAAGTTGTTTCTGTCTTTCATTATGGCATAGTTCCTCCTACGTATTTTTTGCAAGTCAAATTTATTTAGATATGTTGTTTTGCTGTGCGTTGATCTCTTGTAACGAGAGACGTGAATAGACCATCTCGCATCTCTTTCAGAAGTCATATTATTAAGGCTAAAAGTTTAAAATGAAAGCCTTTGAAATCCAATTAAGGCTAACAATCAAAATGTACAGCTAATTGGTGAGCGAATGAGTGAATCAAATAAATATTCCTTTCATTTATTTGAAACTGATATTAGGATTTGTTGATCATCTTAATTGATGAATTGCTTCCGATATTATCTTTATGTAGGTGATTTTCGTGGGAAAAGTGTAGTAAAGGTAATGATTTTGGGACTATCAAATTCATATATAGCAAGTTAATTTCATCATCTTTTTCTCTTGTGGTTTCAAGTAGTTCGTACCCATTAGAGAAAGTGATCCATGCCTTTTTGTTTGAATGTTTAGTTTTGATTGTCAACTAATTAGCCAATATTCTCGTGTTAGATCATCTGAAAAATTTATTTCAATACCATGATAGTTTTATGCAACTGATTTATAGGTTTTAATATAAACATGTTTTTTGAATTCTTTGATATTCATAATTCACAAAAATTAGGCTAAATTTATGAGCTTATTAATCAGTATATCTATTAGGTCTTGTGCGTGTGTGTATAGGATTTTTCTGTATTTTAAAATGATGCAGTTAGGTTGCTTTAAGTCGACCGTAGACCTCCAACCACCCACTACCCACATTTGCACGTAATTCCCTCACCTGTTTGTTTTCTTAAAACTGAAGACAACACGAAAATGGTGATCATCCATTCTCTTGCTCCTGATCCCTCTGCTCGCACGACCCCGCAACCGAACCAACCCGACTCCCCCGGCTTGTCTCCTATTTTTGCACATTAGCGCCAACCTCGCCGTCCGACCCAATTTCCAACTCGATCTCGAGAGCCAATCTTGTCGCTAGTTCCTCACGCCTGATCGATCATTTCGTCTCATTCCGATTCTCGCTCGATCTCCCTCAGCCACTCATGAGTTTGGTCCCATCCTCAGCCAACACAGATCCCGTCCGATCCAGCCAACTCCAGTCTGATCTACGCTCCCGCAACTAAAACTCGCGACATGTCTCCATCTGTCGCACGTGATCTCCTCCCCGATTCTGCCTCCGATTCCGCACGCAGCATCCCCGGCTGAGCCCATCTCCCTTGCTTTCTCTCTGTTATGAATGCCAGCTGAATCCGCACGCTTTTGTGCGCCCGATCCCACCTCTCACTCCTCACAACCCCCAGTTGAGCCGATCTCCCTCTTCCGTTCTCTATTCTGTTTGCTCTCGCCTTGCTTTTGGTCGACATGAGTAGATGAGTATGCAAGAGTGTTTGTAATACACACACACACACTATATATATATATATATATATATATATAGGGATCACTGAAGACTTGTATCGGGACTAATCAGCGTCATGAAGCCCGACCGTCAAATCCTATATGGCCAGGAGGATTGAAGGGGCAAGTGTCCTTCCAACCTCCCTTCCTGGAGAGGGGGAGCTGAAAGGCTGTCGGATTTTCGAGGGAAATGAAAAAGGTGTTTTTAAATTAAATTAACAGGTACCTTAACTTGAAGACTTATACCGGGACTAATCAATATTTTGAAGCCCTCGGTAGTCTAATCCTATCCAGCCTGGTGTATTAAAAGGGCAAGTGCCCTCCCAACATCCCTTTGTGGGGAGGGGAAGTTAGGAGGTTGCCGAAATTTCGTTTGAATGATAATTGAACTTAGAAGTTTAGACTTGACCTGCTCAGTTAAAAATGTAACGAAAATAAAGACTGAAATGAATGAATTTACAAAGAACTGAACATTTGTTTATAGTTACAAACGAAAGATGTAATTTAAATGAAATTTGTGAATTTATAGGGGCAATAACAAGAAACCTATAACAAACATGATAGCTTGCTTGTGAATGACAATAGTGGACTTGCAAAGAACACATGTATTGCCTACGGGTATCAGTAAGAGATTCTTAATTCATAGGCAGTCAGTCTGCAAGTAAAGATAGGAAACCTATAAAATAATACAATTTATCTGTTAGCAGGAGCAGAGAATTCGTAGTGTACACAACTAGCTTATAGGTAAGAACAAGGGGTTTGTATTAAACAAATCAATTTGCCCACAGGCGAGACCATAGAAGATTTGTAATGAACAATGTATTTCTCTTATAAGCAAGAGCATGATCTTGATGCAGGACTATATGCAAAACAGGAAACTTGCACAAAATAATTAAAGAGCAATTTTGGATTTTCGTTATTCGCGATTAAAACAACAAAATAAAACTAATAAGTGGTCACTTTCGTTTAGGCTAAGCTACGCAAGAGACTAAGCGACATCAAAACATTTAAGAAAATCAAAGTGTTGCATGCGAAGTAATTTCTAACATATCCTTGGTCTAACAATGAGATCCAAATGCAAATAAGTAACAAACCTACGCTTACTAATGGATGGCGATAATTAAACACAATCTCTTGCTTGAACAATCTCTCTACGAAGTAAGTAGAATGTGAAAGTACACGAGTCAATGAAGAAGATCGCCTTCTCGGAGAAGCGTCTTGATTCACCACGTACCTTCCGATAGTTTCTCCTACAAAGCCTTGGTCAAAACAACTAGTATGTAGTTGGCGGACTTTTCTATGAACCCATCAATGCTTGGATTCAAGTCGAAGGACGGCAAGTTGAGAAGATCCACGAAAGTTTAATCATCTTATGCAAGGCCGAAATCAAGCTCCGGATTGGCTGTTCATCATAAGCAAAGAGAGAGAGAGCCCAATAGAGAAAGGAGGGAGAGAGATGGAGGAGGAGAGGGAAGGCCGGCGGCTTGTAGGGGGAAAAGGGTTAGGGTTTGGGATAGAATTGGGTTGAGAGAAAGGAGAAATATTCCAATCTCCAAATCTGAAATTATTTTCAGATTTTGAGTGGAATTGGAGGGAAAATAATTTGAATTTGGGTTTCAAATTATATGCAATTAAGAGCTTTAATGGAGCATTCATGGAGTGGGGCCCATGTAAGGGGCCGGCGGCATGGAGAGAGGGGGAGGGGTTTTGTGGAGAAATTTAAATCTCCTTCCTATTTGGTCTCTTTAATTTATGAGAAGAAAAATTTCACCAAAATTAAATTTGAATTATATCACGAAGGAGATTCAATACTTTTCTAAAATAGCTTTCTAATTTAGGAAACTATTTGAAATTCAAAATTTGAATTTCAAATGATGAAAATAATTTCCCAAATTATTTGAACTCTTTAGGTAAGCATTAAGGTGGCATTGACTCCTCATCCATGGAGACAAACAAGGTGGCCGGCGGTGGGCATGGCTTAGGTGAAGCGGGTGGAAGAGCTAATGGAGAAAAGGGATCGGGTTGGTGGTTAGGTTGAGGTGAGCTTTGGTAGGAGGGGTTATGGGGTGGTGGGGATGGCCAGCGGTGGAAGTGGAGGAGAAGGGAAGAAGAAAGGAGGAAAAAATCAAGAGCCACTGGTGGTGTCTGTTGGGTACGACGGGTGGCCTCTCCTAGGCTCCACCAAATTCTCAAATTCATTCTCAAGCTCTCACCTAAGCCTCAAGAATACAATTGCAGGAAATTTCTTTGATTATCATTCATTAATCTCAAAAGAACAAGATGAAGGCTTTAAATAGCCTCTTACAATTACATAAAATAAAAGGACCCAAATACCCTCAAGGGGCTACATGACTCAATCCCTCAAGCAAGGGTAAAAAGAGAAAATGCTGAAATAAAAATACATCACTAAGGAAACAATAATAAAATCAAAAGTACATAGGATAAATCGTGGCCGTTGATCTACGACCACGTCAACGGTAGACTTTCCAACTGATGTCCCCATCATTCTCACAGGGTGGGAGAAAACTCGACTCCGTCGAGTAAGAGTCTCTCTTGTAAAGCTCCAAAGCATCTGGGTCTATCCGCTGTAGCTCCTTGCGATCTATCCACGTGTCCTCCGATTCAGGTTTTCCTCTCCACCTGATCAAGTGCCTTCTTCTTCCACCTTCCTTTGTAGAGATAATGTCATCACTTAAAATTGTGTCCACTTTATCAGCCATAGGTAATTTGGGAATGGTAGGAAGGGGAGGCAAATTAGGGTTTTCCAATGGTGGGGTTATATCAGGATGTTGCAAGAGTGGTTGGGTGGATTGAAATCAGGGCCTTCGTAAGCAACTAGATCCTCAATGTTAAAAGTCGGGTTGATGTTGAAATCCTCTGGGAGGTCTACTGCATATGCATTGTTATTGATTTTCTTTAATATTTTGAATGGCCAAACACTCTTGGCATGTAGCTTCTTAACGGTTCCTTGTGGGAACCGTTCCGGATGGATCTGCACCATCACGGAGTCACCCACCTTAAAAGTTTTAAATCGTCGTTTTAAATCAGCATATAACTTAAATCTTTGTTGCTCTTTTCAATATTTTGTGCAATTTCCTTATGCAGTTCATGCAGATGAGATGCAAATGCAGACGCTGACTCGGAAATCCTATACCTAGAACTCGTAGGAATCAGATCTAAAGGCTGTCTAGGCTTAAACCCATATACATTCTCAGAAGGACTTAGACCCGTGGTTCGGTTGACAGAATTATTGTACGCAAACTCAGCAGTGGGTAGGATAGTGTCCCAATCTCTAATATTATCCCCAACTAAAGAACGCGACAAATTTCCCAAACTCCTGTTAACTACCTTTATCTGACCATCAGTCTGTGGGTGAAAGGCAATGGAAATTGCAGCTTGGTACCCATCTTCATCCACAAGGTCTTCCAGAAGTAGCTCGTGAACTTTACATCTCGATCTGATATAATGGTTTTGGGCAAACCATGCAAGCGGACGACCTCATTAAAATATAGCTTGGCGATGTGAGAGGCATCAGATGTTTTGGAACAGAGGACGAAATGAACCATTTTGGAAAATTGATCTATG